GAGTTGCTTATGAGTCGACTGGAATCAGAACGCTCATTATCGCTTGCAGGACCGCAAGTACTTTGATTCCGGTGATTATGCCCTGTCCAAGGCAGGCAAGGCCGACCAAAGTTCTGTTGGTACTGCTATCCCCAATCCCGAGAAGTAAGTTACAGAATGGGATCGCGATCATATGAGGATGAAGGCTGATTCATTCACCCAAAGCATTCCCCATGCCACGCCCGGAAACACTCCCGGCACGCCTGGCCACCCTATCTCGGTCTCACCCACCAACTCGATGTCCAAAGAAAGCGGCCTGGCCACCGATCAGAACACCACCCCTCCCGCCCAGGAGGAACAGGAACCAATACTGGACGCGGCTGGAGCTGCAACGAACAGGCTGGCCAGCACCACCTCCGACACCATCATGTCAGAATCAGCGCCTCTGGACACCCCGGAGACCATTGTAAACGCAACAGAGGCACCTGTTGCAGCGCAACCCGTTGTCGTCAATGCAACGGCGACTGCGATGGATGTTGCCGCTCCAAAGTAATCGATTGCATCCAGACGTTCCACGAGGCAACGCTTTCGGATCCTCTCTCCAACGCAAGCGAATATTCCATCGGTTTATTTTATTGACTTTCTATCATCGGTCATCCACAGAAAATACAGATGCGACAAGACGTTCGATGGGGTCCGTTGTGTGTACTTGCGACAACTCGGCCAGTGTCAAGTGCTGCTCGATGGGCGGTTCGTTTCCAAAGAGTTCATTCAGGGTGTCGGTCTTTCCCAGCAACTACTATGACGCCTTCATCGCAGCTTCCACTCCAGTCTCCAGCACGTTGTTCTTTCGTACTCCACTGCATTTGTATGTACTAGTACCAGCTGATCCGTTCACGATCCCAAGCAATTTCTGAGGAAGCATCCGAATACGTGCTCAGAGTCTTGGTCCACGCGTCAAGTTGCATTAGCGCCCACGCAGTACTTCAGAATTATCGACTTGACTAGCGCTTGTCTTCTGTGTTGCTCTCGCTTCCACAGAGCGGCCCCTATTGCCATGCCTGATTGCACGGATCAGCAATTCTGATCCGGCGATGTGGGTCTTCCTCCGCTTGTACCTTGCCCGTCCTTTCCTTCTGGTTTAGGCGTTTTCCTAAGGCTCTTGCACCTGCTGGAATTCCAGATTATTAGAGCCACATCCATTCTACACTTCTCGACATTACCGTGAGCATTGCCGATGTCCCTTTCCCGACTTCACACGGTTCTTCTGCACTCTACGGTCTTAATCTCACACCAAGAGCGTGGCCAAGTTTCCATCTAGTTCATAGTCGCCATCTCGAGAATTGGAGTGGCGTGGACGCTCACGGCCATTAAATGACCGATAGGGCTATCACATCGGCATTCAGCTCAGGACAGCCTGGCTTCCTCCGTTCCTTTGCACTCCCCGGAGCGTTAGATCTCGCTCCGTCTCTGATACCCTCACGCTCTGGCTTCATGATTGTGGCTCAGGCCCTGCTCACTTTGAAATATGAAAGAAGGATGGAGCTCGTCAGGCTTGAGCTAAAACCAAGCGTCGATTCAACCGCCTGTGCTCTTCAGCTCGTCGAGCGGAACGGGATTGCTCAGTTAGCTCAAGCACATGATAGATTTTCTTGGGGCTAGAATACATTCTGTTGACTTTAAGGTGGTGATAGAACATCCTTTCAGAGCGTATAAAGCCCGGGCTCTGTGAAAGGCCCAGTCAGTTCGCCGACTCGCAGTTGGGCAAATGTTTCGCACGGCTTCCGCCAACCGAATAATCGTTTCTCATTGGTGCATCATAGTTCCCTCCTCACACTCTCTCGCTGTTTTGACCTTTTTTCTCAATTTCCTTTCCTCTCAATTGGGGCTCAGGGGCTTTTATTAACCTCTGGACACGTCCAGGCACTTTTATATTTTTTCTGCAGCATCTTTAAGGGCACACCGTGGCGATGGCGCTCGCTCAGCCGGTGGCGAGATTGGGTGGGCCGTTATGGGAAGAGGAAGTCGTCCCTGCACTGAGAAAACGTCAGTAAACCAGTTGTATTTCTCTTTACTGACCTAATCGATTGGTTTACTATAGGACTGGAAAGCGAAAGTAGGACGCTTTCGAAGCGAATGTCCGCCATATCCCTGGCCTCCGATGATGGTTCAATACCCACATATACCCAGCCTCCGGCTTCTTCGACAAGACAGTACGACGACATGCGTACTCATGCTAGGAAGAGCAGTAAGAGCAGCGCAATACGGTCCAATGCTTTGACCGTCGAGAATAGCGGCTCAGACCAATCTCGCGTCAGTTCCAATACGGCAAAGGCAGCAACCAGCTCGTCCAACTTTCATCGTTCTAGGACGTATTCTCAACCTGATATTGTTATCAACGGGTCGAGCAAAGGGTCTCGTAACAACAGGGCTCTCGACAGTAGCAAGGAGTCCGATTCAAAGCAGCGACAGCCGACACGAATACCAAAACCGTCTCGGGCCTATGGAGCTCTTAGCAACGGCAACACACCGGTTATGCCTCAAACAAATGGTTTTCAGACATACAGCCCCCACCACACTCCAGATGCATATGACACCGAGCACGATTTCAAGTTTCCTCCCTCTGCGACACATCAAACAGTTGTTCTACCCAATAACAGATCAGCCTCGGGACTCATGCACGAAACAGCCCCTTTTCCCGCCTCCCCGTCAGCCTCGACGCTTGCTTCCTATCCCAATGGTCATGCTCTCTCGGAGGAAGCACCATCCCGACCGTCAATAGACTCGGAGGAACGGCCTTTTGAACATTGGTATCGCGGGGAGGTTTCCCGTAATGGAGGTGTTGGCGAGCTTCGAGTGGGCCGACAGCAGGAAATGCTGGAGATTGCCAACTATGGCCATATGATGCGAGGAATCCAGGGGAAGAAGCCCAGTCCGGGATGGAACGGTTATCAACCACCGCATCACAGACAATTTGAGGATGCCTCACATCGAGGAGGGCGTAGGCGGGCGGGCAGTATTGGTGGTCTCACTGATATGGAGAGGCAGAGGGGCAGTGTCCTGTTTGACGATGAAGGCATGGACGCGGTGGCTCGGGTGCTTGATGAACATCCTTTGACCGATTTCGAAGGAGAGTCGGATGTTGCTTCGCTATCGTCGCGGCGGTATCACGCAGATCCAGACTATGGTTCTGGCGCTGGGGACGTCTCTATGGCCACTGTCACATCTACCATGACGAGTCCCGCTATGAGCGACTATGCCACGATGGACGAGCGCAGCACCACACCACAGCCTCGATTATCGGAATCACGCAACGGACAATACCCACCAAGTCGGATACCCTCGCGGCAGCCTCGTAGGTCGACCGACTCGCGGTCGACCACGCCTACAATGCACCACCCACCGACAATGAATGGCTCGTATTCCCAATCAAAAACACCGTCTCCGCCCTCGGTATCGGGCAACCGGTCTGTCTCTGGACAATCTACGACAAGTCCAACATCAACAGCTGGCAAGAAAGGGGTCTCGCCCCCTGCGTCTGGGAAGAAGAGAACACCGGTCAAGTCCTTGCGAGGCAAGCAGGCACCACCTGCCCTGTCAAAGAAGCAAGACACGTCAAAGGACAGCGGTCGAGAAGCCTCACAGTACCCAGTCCCGTCGGATGGAGAGGGCGACATGTCTCATGCAATACCGACCTGGACACAACCCGTACCAAGGGCTGGTAATTGGGACGAGGTGCGTATTGTGAATTGGCTGCTTTCCTGATATTAGTCCTGACGCTGCGCTTCCCTAGGTTGTACTCCCTGTTGTCGCGCGACAGAAGGGCATGGATGAGTACTACCAAACCGCAGATGGTAGTCCCCAAGCAAGGAAGGTGGACACGACACCTGCTCCTGTAAGTCACCGTTCGCCCTCCCTCCTTTCGCAAGACCCTTACCTGCCACCGTCCAAAGGCACCTGGCACATTTGGCTACGACGGTTCGAAATACCGACGGAGAGGCGACAACGAACCCATCGAAATGGACGAATTTGGACGGCCACCCCCAGGAACATTCCAACTACGGAGAAGCACCGACGAACCGCGAGACGAGCAGGCGCCACAGAACAACGACGAATTCCAACCCTACGACCTGTACACATCAGCACATGACGAAACGCGGTTACCTGTCAGGCCTTCGCCTTCGCCTATGCCGTTTGCAGAGTACGCACCCAAGCGGCCTGCACCCGTACAAGCTCGGCCGTCAACAGGGACGGTGCAGCAGCAGCCACAGCCGCATCAACCATCCGCAAAGGTGGATCAGCAGACTGACTTGGACGACGAAAAGGCCGCTGGGTGCTGTAAGTGCACCATCATGTAGTCACAGGTCGTCTCTCTAGTTGCTTCACATTTCGGTCGTTTTGCTGCATTGCGCAGCTTCCTCTCTTGGTTCGCCTTTCCTCTTGTTCCTGGGACTTGCATCATTGCCTTATTCCCATTGTTGAATTTCTAGTCCACCATCGGTTTCAAATTGGATTTCTTCTTATCCCAAAAGCTTTCCTTTACGTTTTCCTTGTTGCGTCGTTCTTCTACCCTCTGTCGATCGCTCTCTTCATGGTTCCTTACCGTTCCTTTCTTCCTCCTTTTCTAATCGTACTGCGGCCCAGCATCCGCATCACAAAAATGTATTACCACTCTTCGTTCGTACGTTTTGTTCTCTCCCGGGACTTTATGCTGCAGCCTGTTCAACTCCTTTCCAGTTCCTCATCGTTATAATTGCTTTTCTTTTTACCGCATAAATAGACCTGTCCTTACACGTAACCATCCACCCATCCTTAGCCTCGACATCTGCTCATCATCCATACCCTACCGTAGTTTTACTATTCACAGATTACCTGCCTCAGTCCAATGCCCTCGATTCCCTGCTATTTTCATAAGGCACGAAAAAAAGAGAAGGTGCAACTTTTGAGAGATACATGACTCAAAAGTTGTCCACGTCTCGCTCGAGCTTGTTGATTTACTTCCAGATGTGGTGCAAAAAAGCGGGCCTCACTGGGAGTTGAACCCAGGACCTCCTCGAGATTTGGTTACCCAAACGAGGAATCATACTACTAGACCATAAGGCCACGGGACCAGATGCCGAGTTGTTTAATATTACCACAGCCGGGTGTTAAATTCCTACTTCGAATGTTCTGCAAGCGCATCCAAAGCGCATCTATCTCCTAGAGGCCAATACGAGAGCAACGCTATGCATGGCAGAAACCCCATGCCTACGCATTTCCCTAAATGTAATTGATGACGAAAAACATAGCACATCGTATGTATTCATAAAACCCGGTAGTAAAAGACAGAACTCAAGTACATGCGTTGGAAACAACGTAGCTCTTTGTGTCCTTGAGATTCGAGTCATTGAGCCGTACTTCATCCGTGTGTAGCTGAACGTCCACAGTGTAGTTCCCCGTCACCTGGGTTGTGATTTCGATCTGGGTGAGATTAGCAAAGTTGCTCAAGACCTGGCCATTCCTCTTCCACGTAACCGTGTAGAGCTCTTGCGCAAGAGGCGTCTGTCGGAACTGGGCCAAAGGGAGAAGCTTGGCTTCCAAGATTTTCCTCCCTTGCGTTGAGCAGGATTCAGCGACGGAGTCGATCAAGCTGACCCGTTTGAGAAGGGAAAGCCACAGGCCCTCTTTGCAGACGCTGCAGAAGTTGGGATGCGTCATGTTACGCATGAGGCAGTTTTCGTTTGTAGGTCGGTAAGTCGTTCGGTTGCTGCTTGAGAACCTGAAAAGCAGTCAGACGGGGCGATCATGGGACAACTCTAGCAAATATATACTCACGTAGGATACAGTCCAATGTAGTCTTTGTTATCATTGAACCTTGGGGGTATGCTCGTCAGCTTGAATTGGGTGGATGGGCAACTCGAGCTCACTCAGATGCGCTGCCGTATTCAAGAATCTCGATATTGCAGAGCTGCGCGGTACCTTCCAAGGCCTTGTTCAGCAGGGTGAACTTCAACTGATGTGTACCCGCCGAGAGGCCAACAGAACGGTGGGTGTCATAGTGCCATCGATCCATGCCTGTACGTGGCTCCGCCTGCCAGTTCAGGTCCACCCCGTCGAGTTCGGCTTTCAAGTCGGTGGAACTTGGGAGACCGGAGAGGGAGAACTTGATCAAATGCCTCGAGTAAGTACCACTGGAAGTGAAGTTGGTAGACCAAGGACGGGTACTGTTCAGCAGGGTCCAGACGTAGCCTTGAAGAGGCATCACAGCTCGCTGGGCACGAGTGTTCGAAGCATCCGTCAGCCAGTGTTTCCACGTCACAGAGCTGGTGCTCTGGACGCTGTTAACACCAAAGTAGGAGGTGCCGCCATCGTACTCTTCGCCGACACCAATGATGGTATGGCCCAGTTCATGGCGAAGGACGATGGGCCCGTTGAGGGAAGAGGAGGTTACCGTAGCAATAGCACCTCCAAGACCTGGCGAGAAGAAACTTTAGATGACTTTGAGCCAAGCGTCCTCCAGATGCCCAATACTCACCTCCATAGTATGGGTCGTTGCCTGCATCAATCGCCGATTAGGAACACTTGGTAGACTATTAGACAGAGTGCTCGTACCAAGGATGACTGGATGATCACAGCCTTGACCCAAGGCGCTGCATGCACTATTGACAGCAGACCGTCCTGCGCTGGTAAAGTAGACACCCCGTAGCTCGGTACCATCTCTGTATAGTTGATAGGCTGTACTGAAGAGTTTCCGTGAGCCAGAGAATTTGATGACTAAAGGCATTACTGACTTTTTAGGTCGGCCTCCCACTCCGATACCACTCTACGTTGCGTCAAGGTTGATCAGTAAGTAAGTTGTTCAGCATAGGCGCGTGTTCCTGCATACCTGATTGCTTGCAGTAAAGCCGCCCCAGAAGTTCATCAATGGCTGAACGGTGGAGAAGGTTTGATACTGTGTCATATCATCGGCCAAGCGCTGAGCGTCCGCGAAGAATTTGGTTCTTTCACTGGCCAAATCTGGCAGATCTGGACTCAGGGTGTGGCACTGAACATACAGTGAGATGGACTTACACCCATCGGAAAAGAAGACGATGTCGACGCGGTTCGCTGAGGGACCTGTAACGACAAGTGGTTGTACTTCTACCGCAGCGATGGAAGCACCAGAGTCAGGGCCGAAATCCACGGTCAGCAGCTAGGAGGCGAAAATAGTTAGAATAGCGAATGGACAACGCAAAGGGTGGTAATTAGACCTCTCTGTCGCTATCATCAGTAACACAGATGTCCTGCTTCCATGTGCCAATCCTCTTCGTTTCAAAGCCAGCCTCTCCATCATCGGCCAAAGTGCCTAGAAAAACCGTAAGTCCCAATACATATGCTACACGAAAGGGCTCACATTGAAAACGGATGGAGAGCAATAGGCCTGCAACGAGCAGCAGCCAACCCATGTTGCGCGGGACGGATGGTACACAGGTACCATGGAGCTCGATGCTGGGCGTTAATAAAGCTGCGGTTGCTTCGGTGAACACATTATTGGTTGGTCATTAGACTCAAGAAGTCTTCGCTGCACATATGGCGTCGAAGGTGCGATAGCCTTGGAAGCTGCCTTTCACGCTGGATTAAGGTCTTCTTCGCAACATGGTCGTGCATTGATGTTACTGGTGTAAGAAGTGTGTATGGTCAAGCCTTGTTGAGTTATTGTGTCAGCTGTGTGAAGAAGGCAGGAACAGCGTGGAGAAGCACTTACGAAAGTGTGCTTCCAGATGAAGCAGGAATCCATCGGAGGTGGTACCGCTCTCTTCGGTATCATCTTGCTGATAAGGGTTGTGTTGGCTTTTCTAGTATTCATCGCGGACGGGTTGTAGAATCGGGTTTTTATAAGACATCCCAACGACATGCCGCGTCCCTCAAGCTTGATATTCCAACTTTAGGTACATGGTGACGACACATCGTACTCACGGGAATCGGTTAGCTCCCCTTGGTGAGCCCTCACCTCCTCTGTCGTGAACCGTACTTCGACAGAATATCTCCCTGCCGCGTCCTTGTTGTCGATATATATTTCTGTCTGATCTTCCAAGCCTTCCAAGACCTTCCCGTCCTTCTTCCATGTGACCGCATAGCGTTCTTTCATAGCCACATCGAAAGGCCTGAATTGGGCCAAGGGTAAAAGCTCCAGTGCTAGGACTTTTTCCAGGTCCCCAGTTGCCGTATTTTCTTCACAAGTTTCGGTGATGCCTTCGATAATGTGGATGCGTCGTAGGAGGGATAACCAGAGCCCTTCCATACATACTTTGCAAAAGTTGGTGTTGGTGACTTTGCGCATGAGACAGTCGTCGTTGGTCGGGCGGTAGCTGGTGACGTTCTTATCCGAGAACCTATCCCTGAGGTCAGTCAAGTCCCAAGGGAGTATGGCAACCGTAGCGTACGTCGGATACAGGCTGTAATGGCCTGGCGTAGAAACAAACCTGAGAAACGATCAGCGAGAGGAATGGCGAGTAGTATCAAAACTCACTCCGATTCTTCCCCAAATTCAAGTACCTCCACACTGCACAATTGAGCCTTGCCCTCAAGACTAGGCTCACGAAGAGTGAAGGTGAGGGCATGAGGTCCTTCTGAAAGACTTTCAGAGCGGTATATGTCATAGTGCCATCGGTCTAGCCCAACAATGGGTTCCGGTACCCACTCCAAATCCACGCCGTCCAGCTCAACCTTGAGATCCTTCGCGTCAGGGATCCCAGACAAGGAGAACTTGACCAGGTGCCTAGAGTACACCCCTGATGAATTGAAGGTAGTCTTCCAGGGAGTGGTTGTGTTCAGCATGTCCCAAGCGTAGTCCTGAAGCGGCATAACTGTGCGCTCTACACGTGGCGAGGATGACAGCCAGTGACTCCAGCTAACTGGTTCGCTGATGTCGTGCAGGGCATTGACACCAGTGTAAACGTAGCCGCCGTCATATTCTTCGCCAACGTCGATTATAGAGTGGCCGAGCTCGTGGCGGAGAACTAGGGGCCCATTAAGGATCGAGGATGTGATGACGCTGCTTCAGCGGTCAGCAACGGAGCGACGAAGGGGCTGAACTAAACGCACGTAAACTCGCCACCTAAGCCTAGAGAGGAATCAGCACAAGTATGAGAAGGATGTGCAAGATCTAACCTCCATAAAGTGGATCGTTCCCTGAAGCAACATGAGTGCTCGTGGAAGAAAGTGAGCGGTACAGAACACACCTAAAAGTATTGGGTAGTCGCAGCCAGATCCCAAGGATTGGCACGCCGCACGCGCAACCTTCGGGTGCTTGTAGTAGACCCCGCGCAGTTCTGTTCCGTCCCTATATAGACCAAATGGTGTACTGCCGCCTCTCAGCGTCTATCCACTGTGCCTTGGCCGTGCAGGCGGACTCACTCCTTGGCAACCCCTCCAATGCCGATGCCACTCTTCCGTCTTAATCAGTACAAGTCTAGGTCTTCGCAGGCAAGGCTCACTTCATTGCTTGGGGTAAATGCAGCCCAAAAGTTCATCAATGGCTGAACCGTGTAGAATGTCTGGTTTCCGGTCACGTCAGCGGCAAGGCGTTTGGCATCTTCCACAAACTTTTCTCTTTCGGATAGAGTGTCTACGGCCCCGTGTTAGCACTCGACTAGTATCAAACCTTTCCACTTACACCCGTCTGAGAAGAAAACCAAGTCAATCCTGTTGGAAGAGGAGCCTGAGAGTGCAAGGGGTATGACTTCCAGGGGAGGGACTTCGGCGAAACCGGTTTCAAAGTCCTGACCAGTAAAGTTCAGGACGTTGCAGCACACCCGCCAAGATTTAAAAGACTGACCATTTGTTTTGGCCCATTCAAAGCACATATATCCACATTCTGGTTCTCTGAATCCGCTGTTGCTGCATATCCCAAAAAGTGCTGGTTATTGGCGGCCACGAGAAGGGCATCTGAAGTAGAACTTCAGGGTCCTGTGTATTTCAGCTTTGCGACGAGAACCCACACCATAAGACACAAAATACAAGCGTCGAAGGCCGTGTGAGAGCCTGCATGACTCTGTCGTCGATGTGGTTCGGTTCAGAGTTGCTTCGCCCACCCCTGAGCAACCGTTCTGTGCGCGGATCAAAACGGTCCGCAAGCGCCGCCT